AGCCCCGGAAGCCCGAGCCACCACCCACGCAAACAAGAAAAGCGCCATCCCCGAAAACCAAGAGGCAACACCCGACACCCCGAAGGCAGGCCTCCTCCTGACGCTGCGGGCGCAAGGGCGGTCTGTTCCGCCGAAGCCCGCGCTGCGCGCTCGCGCGGCGCGACCCAAACTACTTCCGATGGCCTCCGAGAGCATCCAGGAGGCCTCGGAGAGCGGGCCCCGGGGCCCAAGAGACCCCCGCTAGGCAGGAAAGAAGGAGGAGCCTCAAGGGTCCACACAGGCCTCAAGGGTCCACGGAGAAAAGGAAAGGCGGGGGTCACCAGGCCGCGAAAACCTAAGAGTCCTTCGGAGCCCCTACCACCACCCCGATAGTGTCCAGGACGAACAGCACGCTATCGACGTCTGGGGTGGTGGACAAGGGGTCGAGGCGCATATGCACACGTAAACCGCCAGGCCCCCCAGTCCAGGAGCCCGGCCAGGAACTGGGAAACAACAGGAACCAGGCCAGGCAAGAGCGCGGGAGGGGGCCCGCGGAAAACAAGGCATGGGGAAAGCGGCCGCAGGGCCGCGAGGCCAGCAAAGAAGAGAGGGGCCCCAGTGGCTCATAGAGGCCCACGAGGAAGGAGGGGAGAGTAGGGGCATTCACGGGGGCCCCCGCGGCCGACGCGGCCGAGCGCCCCCGCGGGGCAGTTGTCACAGGGGGGCGTCGTCCTCATCCCCCCCCGCCTTCAGGGGGAGGCGATGTGCCAGTCGCGAAGGGTCCCGAGGTCCGCGAGCCCCTCCAGCCGACGAGCAGCGGGGCGAAGCCACCGAGCAAGATGTTTTTGTGCCCACGTCACGGGCAGCAAAACCGTGACGACGTGTGCCCAACAGTCAGCACGCAGCCCTTGGTCGCACTATGGAGCCACGGCCCTCGCCCTCAGCCCCAAACAGCCCTCCGAAGGGGATGCTGGCTCGGAGGGGAGAGCCACGACTCCCCGAGACGCCATGACACACTCTCGTCACCTGACTATCCTCCGAAGGGATGCAGGCTCCAAGATGTGTACCAGATGGCGCCCCAGGAAGCGACTGTCTGCATGCCTTCCGCTGGGTCTTGCGTTCTCCCTCACGTCGTCCTCCATCCTTCGACGCTGTGCGCTGCGGGGTCCGCTCGTAGGCACATCTGCTCTCTCGCCGCGAAATAGCGGTCGCACTTTGTAACGTAGTCGCTGAGGCCGCCAATCTCCTGTCTGTCTGTATGCCGATTTCCACGTGGTGCCGCCAAGATACGTATTATGTCGTCGTCATCGTCGGTGGCGTTGTGGAAGTGCGTACTAGTGATGGATCGGTCGGTCATGGTGACGAGGTTGTTTCTCCCCAGGTCTTGTAGTTCGTGTGGGGCAATTGTCGTTATAGGCCCGATGTTTGTCATGCAAGCTGTGTCGTTAGCTACGCACGTAAACATGAGGGAGATGGCGTCTCGCACTTCAACTTATCTTCCGTCGTGGTCGTGTGCTCATCTCTGCTGAGGTCTCTTCTGCCCCACGGACGTCGTTCGTCGCGTAGTTGGTTGATGTTACCTTTGCTCGGAGTGGACTTCTTGTAGTAGGTGACGTCGACTGTACCATTCCGTGCAGCGTCATAGATAGCGTCGTTGATGTAGTCAACATGTCTCTCGTTGTGCTTCTGGCCCGCGCGGTTGGCCACGGTGAGTACACGTACCCGTCGATGTTGTATTTCTGCTTGTTGCTCGATGCCGTTGACGATGCGCATAGTGTCGTCGCACTTGGCGTTCTGGTTGGTGACGATCAGGATCGTAGTCTGGTCTATCCTGTCGATGCGTGGCCCTGCTGTGTCGCAAATGGTCTCGTTGGGATCGATCGCCTCGAAGAGCGTCTTCACTCTGACCTCGCCGCACACCTCGCTCTTCATCTTGTTGCGGTGGCAGAGGAACTGTTGCTGGAATCATCGAAGTGCGTTCGTGCTTAGCGTCTGTGCGTAGTGCGAGTGATGATCCGTATAATTGGACGCGTGGGCTATCTGCGTAATCTTCAGGTAGTCCTTTGTTTTTGGTCCGCCGCATGCGCCTTATTTCCTCGGATAAGTCGTTTGCTGCGTCGTCGTCGAGCCGCTTGATGAACTTCATGGCGAGTGATGCACAGTGTTTGCTGGCGCACATATGCTTGTAAACCTGTTCACCGCCCAGTACTCCTTCACACAGACTTGGCATATAGTCCAGTGGACGCACTTGATTGCATTCCCATCATGGTTGTGCTTCGCGCACATGTGCTTTTGGCACGCTGACTTGCCGTTCAGGATTCGCCGGCATTCATAGCATAGGTACCTGTGAACATGTTGAAGGTCTTCATTGTCAAGAGTCGGACTGGTGGTGCCGTCGCACATGTCAGTGATGCGTCTCCCCCAGGCAACGGTAGCTGTGCTTTCTTTGCTGTGCTCGACTGCTGTCTTGTAGGCGTGTGTGGTTATACCTTTGAATTTGGATGGTTCTTCTTTTGCCATGCGTATCCATTGGCGTATGTCGTCGTTGTTGGGCGTGTTGTGTTGCTTGCTAGTGTACGCTTTGATGTGGTGGGGGCCGTCTGCGATCGTAATAGACCATCTGCCGTTGTTCTCGATGTCATAGTCGAGTAACATTCTTAGTTCGGTCGGGCATGCCGCAATTAGCTGCATGATCTCTCGCAGCCTTGCTTGCCGTAGTCTTTGTGGAAGTGTCGCGATGCATGCCCAGCTGATGATCTCGATCTCAGTGATATTCTCCCGCTGTGTCGTCCGATGGTCAATGCCCATTGCCATCCTCGCTGCTGCTCCGTACGCAGAAGCGATATAGTCCGTGTCCGTCGTTTCTGCAGCTGCCCATGCTCCTTCATTGTACAGTAGTCGTGAGTAACCAAGGGCATTGAGGTAGTGTATATTGGCAGTGTTAGTGATCTTGTCGCGCTTGAACACCGTCTTACGAAGTGGTGCGGTCGCCTCCTTTAGGGCAAGCGCACGTGCTGCAGCTTCCTGGGTAAAGTCATTCCGATCGTTCACCATTGCGCCCAGCACTTTACGCGTTCGCGCGATAGTGACCGCCATACCCATGTCGCACTGCTGCTGGTCAATATGCATTTGTCTTGCTATTATGTTGTCCCTCCTTGTTGCTGGCGAGGATAAGGAAGTTGGACTTGGTAATGTTGATAGGTAGCCCACGAGATAATGTAGTTCGTGACAGTATCCCCACATGGTTTTGACTGTAGTCTCGATCGCGTTGCCGTCACTGACCGTTGCCATTGCTTTCACATCATCTACAGCTGATGTTGTCGTCATATGCTGTACGTCAGGATTAGTACGCAAGACTGGTGGGCTGCCTGGTATCCTGACAGCAGCGTCCGCTTTGATGGCTTCTTCGTGA